GGCAGCCGTATCCCTACCTGAAATTTCACCTCTCTTACATTCCTATCCCTGTGTGTCTCTGCAGGTGTAGGAGGTCGAGGGCTGCGAGCGAGGAGGAAGGTGTTGTCCCAGCATCGGGTGCCTCGCCCTCCTCGCCTCCCACCACTGCGTCCAGTCACCAATCTCAGCTTCTCTCGGAGCTTCACTTTCTCTTTCTTCGAGCTGCCACTGCACCAGTCGCCTCGCTGCCGGGCCGAACGCATCAGAAACCTCATGCTGCTTTTGAGACAGATACACTACTGAAGAACCACAGCTGCACAGACTGATGTATTCTACAAGAATTCTTGAATAATGATATAATAATTCTATACCTATTCATAGGACAGGGGCATTTGTTCTCAGATATATTATTTTAATTTATCAGTGGTAACATGTCAATCTCACTGTCAAAGTACCTGATGTGTAGTGAGTGAAGTTTAATTATTATTAATAATTTGAATCCTAAGGTTAATATGCATTTAGTGTTGAAATGTGAGGAAATTACACGATTTGATTCATTTGAATATAATGTTAACAATGTTTAGAGTTAAATCAAATTTCTCCGAAGTTGTGTCCAAGTTATTTTTCAATTCAAGAGAATAATGTGATCTAAGAGATGTTTGTAAATTTGTGCCACAAAAAGCATAAAAGAGGATCAAAAGGTCATTTGAATTGTTGGGGTTAGATTGTGGAGCCATACAAATGTAAAAAAAAAATTCCAGTACCTTCATATATGGATTGATGACTGTGTGTATACTATGTATAATGTTTTCATGACTAAATTAAAAAAGCAAATAATGCATTTGAATATTTTAACATTTAACATTTAATTCTAAGTTATTTGCCTAATACAAAAGTGAATTTACCATCTAGACACACACGTATATGAAGTTGCTGCTGGATAACCAAGACTTGGCTGACTTGTATCTCAAAACTCTGGGTGGTTGAACGAGAATCTTCAATCTCTATTGATAAAGTTTCTATAGAAGGACAGTATTTTCTGCAGGATCTGCAGCAGCAGCTTCTCTTCTTTTTATTAATCCTGCCTTCTCCTTTGAGTTCATATTCTTCATATTGTGGTGAGATGAGATGTCAAAGGGCAGTTAACAGAGCCGCACATTTATTTTGAGTTTTAAATAGTCAGAAACAGTTGCTGTATGTTGTGTTCAGGCACAGTTTCAGTTTTGTGCTGTTGTGTTCAGTCTTTTCACATCAGGTTTTCAATTAATTTCACATTGTCTCAGTTGGAATGACTTTCATTAACTATTCATTGTGCAAAATGAAAACCATTAAAAAAACATTGATCCAGGGAGAACATTTCTCCATCTCATTTCCTCTCTCTATTGCTCTTTATTTTCTCTGTCACACACATGCACACATGTTCAGACCATGAGGCTTTGAAAGCTGAGCTGTGATCACTGAGGCATTCAGAGGCATCAAACCTGCAGGGGGTGAAGGGTGAAGGGGAGGAGAAAGGGAGCTGTAATCTCGGTGTTCAAGGCTGTTCTCCACCTTCCCTTACTCACATGTGGCTCTGTGTGAATGTGTGTGTGTGTGTGTGTGTGTGTGTGTGTGTGTGTGTGTGTGTGTGTGTGTGGCAGCGGTTTCATACACGTGAATTCTTTGTACTCATGCGGCTTCCTGCTAATCCAGAGGTCACCCCAGAGGTTACAACCATTTTTCTTCCCTCTCACCTAACTTCATACACACACACACACACACATACATTTTAAAGGTGCACAAGACACATCAAACACAGTCTTTCTCAGCAGGCAGAGTCCTTCACATTTTTGGAGACAGTGAAGTCACAGTGCTGGTCAGTCAGATGGTTTAGTCTGTGTCCTTGCTGAATGTGTTTGTGTAAACAGTTTCTAGTGCCAACAGATGCTTAGAGCCCTTATCTGAAGCTCTATGGCCTTGTGTGTGTGTGTGTGTGTGTGTGCGTGTGTGTCCTGTGGCTGCCTCACTACTCCATCAAAGTGAATCACTAGTCTTTTACACAACAACACTTCAGTAGGTGCAACGCTTGACCTTTCTGAACACTAGATTTTTCAAAACCTTTTTTTTGGATTTTTAGAATATGATTTGTTATAGAAACTGTTTTAAAAGGAAAATAAAATGAAAAATGTAATAGAAAGTTCTATTATTATTATTTTTATTATCATTTTGAAGTTGCAGTCTGACTCAGTGCCCCACAGTGAAATATAATGTGATCACCAAATGCTCTTGATCCTAACACTCAATGTTGAAGAGAGTCAGGTTGATGTGGAGGCAGCTGAAGTGAACATAGCTGTACACCTCACCCTCCTCTGTGGCCTCATACAGGTATACACACACATACGCACATGCATGCACGCACACACACAAACACACACACTCACTCACACAGTGATGCACAATCACCATCATCATCATTATCCTTATTCAAGCTAGCAGCACAGAAACCAACAGCTTGTACTATAGTTACACCTGGTCACAAGCAGAATCAGCCTCCCTCCAATCAGAGACTCCTCCTCTCACCTCACTCCTTTCCTGCTGTGGGTGGTGTTGGGTGGTGTCGCTGATGTCCACGCTGACCTTTAACCTGGACAAGGGTCCTCTCTCTGCTCACCTTCATCCACAGCACACAACAGTCAGTCATCATTTTACAGCTGTAATCTGCATTTATATTACTACTGCATCTCAAGATATACAGAACTGGCAGGTAATCTGTATGCCCCTCAGATTACACAACAACCTCGCTTACAATATAAATAGATTATTTTATTGCACAAAAGAGGATGTAATAATAGTAATGTTACAATAACATATGTATTAATTCATGTTGTGTTTATGCAAAACAGTAAGTAAAATTACTGCCCCAGGCATTAAGCCTCCACCAATGAACACCTCTTGCCAACTGGTACAACAACTATATGTCCTACAGAGATAATCAAGAGAACATTGGAGCATCATTGTCGTTTTTACTGTTCTATGATTATGACTGGGTTTGACTGTGGTAAATATGTGCTATATAATTGTTGTGTGTGTGGATTTAGCTTGTCTTCATTATTTGTCCATCACCTCATATATTCTCCTTTATTCACACAAGTTTAAAGTTTTGTTTTTCTTTCCCTCCTCTCACCAGTTACTGAGGCAGACTCTCATTAACGTTGCCCCCCCCCGTCTCTCCAGTCTTTCATCTCGTCCTCATCTTTCAGCTCCTCCACTGTTGCTTTGGGTCGTGTTCCTGGTACAGACTGTTACAGAGACATGGGACTCTACACCGAGGTAAACTCAATCTGTCTCACAACTGTCACAACAATCAGTTTTTTGAAAAGTGCTCAAGCTGTTTGATGAAGTTTGGTGTTGTTGTCTAAAGTTATGGCTTCATTTACTCATTAGGTAATTGAGAAACGACACACAACAAACAAACAAACTTTTCTGTTTGTGTTCATTTTTATTTCTCTGAAAACGTTTGTAAAACAACATTCGAGGATGCATGCAATTCATTTCCAGATGAGACAGTTGACCATATGAATGAATGTTTACGCAGTAATTTGAATACATGAACTCAAACATTTTGATTTCAGTTCTCGTCTGACTGTTTGATTCTTCTGCGGCACCAGCATCAAACATCTCGAGTCCTCGAATCTCTTCTCTAAAGCTTGAGACTGTGAGAACATTCATGTCCTCATTCTGTGCTGGCATCAACAAGAGTAAGCAGCAGCACCCAACTAAGCATGCCATCACCTTTGTTTGAGCAGGGGAGAAGTCCTGGCCTCAGCCACAGAACAAGGGTGGGCTGCATGCAACAGCAAGGGTTTGTCAGCTGTGGGTTGTATGCAAGTGTTTTTTGTTGACTGAGGGTGGTCCTGACTTATCTGTCCTCTTATCTCTCCCAGCCGCTTGAGTTGAAATATTTTATTGGACCAGAAACTGAAGGCGCCAACTTTAAAATGACAGGTGTCTTGTCTCCTCTTCCTTAACTTCCAAACGGACCATGCCTTGTTGTTTATAAGAGGGAGTAACGTTGGTGGATCTAGGGAAGCATCTGAAGTTCTTGGACGTCACTGCAGTTACCACACTTACGCCTGACATGATCCTGATGTCCGGGTTTACCAAGCTGTGGTGTTACTTGAGCTGATTGTCCCTTGGGAAGACGGAATGGAGGAAGTCCAGGAATGAAACATGCAAAGTGTGCTGGCCTGGTAGCTGAGTGTCAGGTACACCTGATGACCCTGGGCATGACGATGTGTCCATGTTGCACCTCGAGGTGTATTATAGAACTATGTCATATCCACAAAATGAACACAGTGTCTGTAAGTGAACAGTTCTGAGGGGGAACTGATTCCTCATCTGATCTGCAGCGAGAAAAGGAATAATCGTGTTCCCCAAAATGCATCAATCACTAAGCAGTTGCTCACTTTGTTATACCTCTAAAGTTGAATCCATCTTTCATAGTGCATTAAAACACCACATCAAAACAAATACTAAAATAAACCCTTGGCTGAAACCAATCTGTTGGTCCTATTTTTACCTGCCAAATTATGATGAGGCCTACTGTGTCCTTCCTCCACCCACTTCTCATAATACACATAAATAAACATGCATTTTTCATTAAAAGCTAAAGTCAGACTTTCAGTTACAGTTGAATTGTCAAGTTTGCCTATTGGAAGGTATTGCAAGGAAGAGAAGTACTTTAGTGGCAGTTTGAATTTTCTAAATGATTAGGAAATGAGCCTGAATGCTTCCTTTTTTATCACCTTATCAAGGACAAAATGTCCTCCCTCAATTCTTGTTGGCAGCAATATTTAAAGTGAAGCAACCATCTGCATAAAATAAAGGAGATTATTTTTACTTTTTGATCCCAGCCACATACAACTATACTAATGTGGGAGGAAAGCTAACAGGAAGTGAAACACTAGGAAGAGGTAATGGGGGGGAGTCTATAAAAGGGGGCAGGAAGTTCACCTGGGCCTTACTTCCTGCTTTGAGACACTCCGGAGTGAGAGCACCTGAGACCTTTGTTTGGTGTTTGATTTGGTAGGATCCATTTTTTCTATAGAAAAAGGTATAAAAACACAACTTAAATGATGAAACTGTAGAACATGACATGTATATTTATCTCATGGTATCAAACTAAAGAATAATTTAAAATGTGTTTTGTTAGATAATTCATGTTTGGTGAGGCACTAAGACTTGGAATGGCTGCTCAGGCCTTTCGGCCAAGTAACAAGGTAAACAAATGCTTTTAGATAGATTTCAGCTTATTTTAATGTCATATCAAGATTTATTAATGTAGATTCCAGTCTCCTGCATGTCTCCAAATGGGAAAAGGACTGTTCCAGTTAAGCAAGGTATATTTATTTTTAACATTATAAATGCTTTTTATTAAAATGTAAATTTTTTTTTTTGTTTATTAATTTGCTTCTGTTTCTTAAGTTTTTAAACGGACACCATTAGCAGAGCCAACTTTGTTTTTCCCTGACTAACTAATCATTGAATGGTCAATTTTTTCTGATTTACTTTATTGTGTTGGGTTGACTGAGTGGTCAAGTAGCCATCTTACATGTGTTTTAGAGTGAGGTTTAAGTCAATGGTTTAAGTAACCATAACTTGCTGTGAATAATCAAATATCAGTTTTGCAGAACAGTTTTAATTTGTTTTACCTTGTTTTATGTGTGGTGGTTTATTCAATCTTTTTTTGACTGGTATGTAGTGACTGGAGGTTTTTTTGACAGGTATGTAGTGGAGAATCCACAGACAAAACTTTGTCTGTCTGATTTAACATGTTTCTACTGTGTGGATTTAATATTGTAATGGTTGGTAATTGAGAGACAGACCATTAGTCACCTCCAGTTAGTCGAGGTTGACTCTGCTGATGCTTTACTGGCTGCTGGAGATAAATCACTGACTTTACATGAGTCCTGATGATCTGAGCTGACAACAGGCTGTGCAAGCATATCTGAATTACTATCAGTGTGAAATGATTCGTCCACAGCTTGTCCTGTATGCATATGAAACACATGCTGATTGTAACTGGATCATCGTGTCTTATCATATATATACAGTATGAATAAAGCATGTGTGCCAGAGTGTTGGATCTTGTCACTCAAGTTTAAGTTGTTTTTATATGATAAAAAAAGTGGGTCAAAACCATAGTTTGTGTTAAAAACGTAGTTGGAGACAAGAATGAAGTGTGTGTACATATTCTATTGCATTCTGTCATTGTGTAAACTAACACCAAATAAAACACTTAAATCTCCAATGAAGGTCAGTAATTTATAGACTTAATGAATCACTCTGATCGATGTAACTGTCACGCAGCCAAAACACACTAAAAGAAATCTCTCGCTGAAACCCACCATCTGTCCCATATGAAAATGCCAAACTAATCCCCAAAAGCAAATGGACTGGGCTCTGAGCATCAGTGACTTCCTCAGGCCACGCACAGTTTTATGGCAGGATAAACTAGTGTGGTGGAAATTTATCTCGAGATGTGAAATAGATAAAAACTTTACTTCCCAGGAGGTCTACTGATCAATGTTAATGCTGGAGAAGGTCCTCAAGCGGTAACACAAACAAACACACCTGTCTGCTTTTAACATATGGATGAGTTAGAGAATAATTACATCTAAAAGATGCTTCCCCTTCATTCACCTTTGGTGATTGTGGCCTTGGCCAGGAAGAGTTGATGTCATCAAACGGTGTCCAATGTTTATTGGGTGTTTCAACCCTAAACTGTAACACCCTCCCGTTGGTGGGTCGGCAGTGGTAGCCAAATCACTGCCTATCTCCTCCTCCTGGCTTCCAGCTTAGCTCCTCTCTCCTGTTCCATAGCCAGCAAGAGGCTCTTTCTGCTGCCTCCCCCATCCTGCAAGCTGCTGTCGTCCTCTCCTTTCCTGTCATTCCAATGGCTGTAAGCATTCTCCATTTCGACTGGGCTGGGAATCCTCCTCTAGCCGACCTCAACTGGGAACAGCCATGCCAGCAATCCTTTCCAACGTCAGGCTTGCAAAAGCTCCTGGTATTTGGCACTCTTCCATTCAAAGGCTTGGTCGCACCCTTCTTCCCACGGGACTGTAAGTTCAATCAGGATGATCTTCTTTGGCTCTTCAGACCACAGAGCTGCATCAGGCTCAGGGTTGTCTGAACGACCTGGGGGAACTGCAGCCTTCCTCCCGGGTCTACCATCATATCCCATGACTGGGCCTTTTGTAGTAGGTTGTTTGATGTTCTTGCTGTGTTTGATGGCACAAAACAGCCCTCCGCCTTCTTCCAGCATAATGGAAGGGTGCCCTTTTTCCAGATCCTCTGGAACAGCTTCCACAACCTTCGAAGGAGCATCGGGCATTTCTTATATACCCTGTAGGGTATACCATTTGGGCCGGGGTCAGATCCTGTTCTGGCCTTCTTTACCATCTCTTGGACTTCCTTCCAGGATGGTTTGCTGATGTTGAGCATTTTTCCAGGTGTTTCTGCTCTACCGATGTTTGTGTTGGCATCTAGGGCTTGGTTTCTACATATGTCATTGTGGGTCTCCCTCAAGAACCCCTCTACATCTTCTTTGGGGCTGGTCAGTCTCCCGGATTGTGCTTCACCCAGCAGTGTTCTAATAAACCTGAGCTCTTTTGTTCTCACTCTCCTTCCTCTGTTTCCGAGTGCTTTTGGCTCTCCGGAGTCTGCAGAGATGTTCACGGAGTTGATTCATCAAGTCCTTGATGCCTTCCCTTTCATTGGGGGGGGCTCTTTGAACTGTTTGTTGAGAGTCTTAATTTTTGCAATGGATTTCTCTTTCTCCTCTGCTTGGCTGCTTTGCAGTTTTGGTGTAAACCTTCTTGTCCTCTGTTCTGAACCGCTCACATTTTTTTCCAGACGGTCTTTTTGTTTCACTTAAATGTACTAAACTGGCTCTTCATTTCAACTAAATACCTACACAGACAGAGGTGACTGTTTATTTTGAAAGTCACCTTTTACAATGTTTACAAGTGCACTTGTGACACATTTCCCAACAATCAATGCAAACCTTGATGAGTGAATGGACATGTTTTAGGCTTAAATGTTTTTTAGGAGATACGTCTAATGTTTCTTAAGAGTTCACAGCTTCTTTTCTGTCAACAAGGGATAAATTAAAAGTAATGAAAAGGAACTGAACATATTTGTGGAGTTGTTAAATTTAGAACCAGCTGATGAAATAATAACAAAATGAAATAATTGAGAAGAAAATAAAATTATGAACTCAAAGCTTGGCACATCAACTCCAGCTCTGACTGTATGCATGTTCAGAGGATTTTTTTTTCTCTAATAAAACCTACACAAATGTTTACCTGTCGAGTTTACTTACTGCTGCGAGCTGTTTGAAAAACAACTGTAATGACTTGGCTCTTCTAACGACTGACAGAGCCAAATATTGAAAAGCCGGTGTAAGTAGCGTCTGACACCTGGCCAAAGAGAAGCAGTTCCTGCCATCGCATTGGAGAGGTTAGTGAGATGTCTGTAACTGGTAAATATCTAACAAAACATATGTCACAGTTAAAAAGCTTTAACTTTTAACTTTTGGTGCTTGTTATTGTCACTTTATTATAAACTTTGCACTGTTGTCCATGTCGGGATCCTGGGGTCATGATTGCTAAATTGTTTCCACTTATTGCTCAGTAGTTGGGATGTTGCTAGGTTGTGATCTGATCATCTGGTGAGTCACTTTAAAATCATTTTTGAAGCAAATGCAAAATGTGCAGTTATTATAAACCCATTCTAAATTGACTGTCCTCTGCTTTGGACAGTTTGTTAAAGACATCATCATTGGACCAGAGTGTGTTACAAGAAAATTTGTGACAGTCATTTTTTCTTGATCTCTTTACATGAACAATTATTTTAAGTTGTGTTAAAAAGTGGAAGCGTAAGTTCCCGGTAATTAAATGGTTGACCATGTTTTCTTCAGCCTTACGAAAAACTTTGAGCGTTAAAGACACCAAGCAAATAGACAAATTAAGCAGCCTTAGGCTTTGGCTTAGCGGTAGAGCAGGCCCCAACATCCGCTACCCGGGCACTGGCAACAGCAGCCCACCACTCCAGTATATGTGTGTACATTAACACTGTTACATGCATACATGAAATTGTTCTCCGCATTTAACCCATCCAGTTGGCACCTGTCGAAACATGCATAGAAACACACATCGACAGATGCCAACTGGATGTGTTAAATGCGGAGAACAATTTCATGTATGCATGTAACAGTGTTAATGTGACAATAAAAGTAAATCTTCTTCTTCTTTTCATTCATTCTCTTGTTAGGTAAGAACAACCAGGCTGAAATGGCTGACTAATCGAATCGTAAAAGATAACATTGATAACACTGATAAGATAGATAAAAGGCTGTCTAGAGTCAAATTAATGTATATTACTGTATGTGCTGCAGTTATCTTGTTTGTTTGTGTCCACAAAGAATGCTGTTCCTTTTCAAACTCACACTGGCTATTTCATTCTGAACTCTGATTGACAGACAGAATAAATTGAAAAGCTGTGACGGTAACTACAAACTGAGACTTACTCACTTTGTAAATAGTAATACAAGCTCAAAATGAATGTTCAACCTGAAACACTTAGGTTTTCATCTGGACTTTGGGAACTTTGCCCTTTTCCACCCCAACAATGCTCATGTTTGTCTTATCTATACACCCCCTTCAAGGTCCTAAGGTAAAGCACTGCAGGAGAGAACCTTCTCTGGGATTTGAAATGGAGCCTTAGCTTCAGCTCTTTGCTAGAACTCCTGTAAGTGACTTCAACGCTCTGCTTGTTACCACTTGGATCTGATGGAAGACTGTAGATTAGAATAACTTTGAGGCACAGGGAGCACTGCACACAGAGAGGAGTCATTCTTCATAAGAGGAGATATAATAATGTGAGTGAATTTTTTTGTGTTTTAAAGTGTTTCATCAAGTCAGACAAAAGACCACAGGATAAAGACATTACATTGCAATAACCTTTTTGGTTAATTTCAGTTCTTTTGTGGGTTTTGGGCTTTTTCTATAAGCCACAAGCTTTTATATTTTGAATTTTTTAAATACCACTGGTCACGATTTGTTTATTATTTAAAATTTTCAGACTTGCTTGTGTAGAGATGAACAGTTCAGTCCCAGATGGGTCTTAAATTAGCACAAAAAAAATTAAAGTTTTTAAAGTTTTTATTTAGTTTTGTCTTGTATTAGATTTTTTTTAAATTGAAGCTGTACTTTTAGTGTCATGTTTGAAAAACACAGGGAAAGATTATCAGCTAAATGCTTTTTGGGTTTATGTCCAGCTGGTGTAAGCTATGGAACACAGGAAATGGGAGGGCTACAGCGTCCACAGAAGGATCCTGGATGAAGGGGATGTGGATGAGATGGGAGAGAGGTCTGAGTTACCTCGGACACCTCTGTCTGAGAAGGTTAAATCATCAATGAGGTAAAATCGACTACATCCAATCTGCCGTGCATCTCAACTTATCTCTCGCTGACATAGCAAGACATTTTGTGTCACGTGTTTTTTGTCTGTAGTAAAGCACAAAGATTGCACCCATTGTTCACAATATAATAACCAGTTACATGTGGCATCTATTGCACCTCTGTTGTCTGTCCATGTTCTTTCCCGTTAATAGAGATTTTCCTCACTCCTGTTGAGGGTTAAAGGCAGAGGATTTCGCAACTTGTTAAGCCTTGTGAGACAAATTGTGATTTGTGAATATGGGCTATACAAATACAATTTTATTGATTGATTGATTACTTTCAGAATTCATTTGTTAGCTCATATACATTTTGAGTTTCCAATGTAAACACACATGC